CCAGCTTATAGTTTGTTTGATGTTCTTTGCAAAGTAGTCAGTATTATAGTCCAGTTTGTTGACTGCACTGCATTCTGAGCCTGCGATTCCGAAAGGAAAACGGACAGGAGTCAACTTCTGTTAGACCAGAACTCAAAAGAGTTTGGACACATCGTCGTCACGAGGGCATGAGGCCTCCGGTGCTTTCTTTGCAAGAGAGAGGCCTCCTTGCTTCACCTCAGGTGCGGCTTGCAAAAGTAGGTTGGCAAAAGGCACTTTATCATTAAGCTAGACTAGGAAGAGCACTTGAGCCGCTTGAGGTTCACAAATGTGATGGAATCTGTTGAGTTTACAGGCTATGGCAAGATGCACCCAGTCCGGAACAGGTGAGGCCCATCCAATGATGAAGGTCAAGCCGCTTGTGTGATGTACTCTTGCACCAGGTCGGACAGTGCCTGAGGGCAAACCAAGGGTTTGCTGTAAGACAGGGTAGTTTCATCAGCCAGTAGAAACCCCACCTGGATCTGTTTCTGCATCTTGATGTTCTGCTGGCTAATCAGCTCCTGTTGGTGAGGCAGCAAAAGAGGGGTGGGGTAGGTTGTCTGCTTGCCAGACAACATCAACCGCCACCCGTGGTACCTCCGTCTGCTGTTTTGCAGGCGAGTGGTAGGAAGCTGCTGAGAAACACCTTGGACATGACACGGCTAATAAAGACTTGGCATCAATCAGGCCCGTGGTCCTGCACAAATTGCCTGGGCCAAAGCACACGGTCTCATCTGAAAGGCTGAAAACGTGTCTTCGCAAGATCCAAGCCGTGGAAGTCAGCTCCAGTGTCTATGAGTGAAGAAATCTCAAAAATCAAACATGTTTCCTGGTGAAGTTCAATCAAAACATCGAAGAACGTCAAAGAACGGGGAGTCCTCCTTTCTGACCAATCCCTGTCCCTTCAACACCGTGTAGGTCGCCAATGGTCGTCGTCTGATTCGGTAACCAAACGGTCTGATTCGGCAACGATGATTCGGTAACCAAAAGCGCTGATTCGGTAAACAGAACCGCGCATTCGGTAAACAAAGCCTGATTCGGTAACCAAAACTGCTGATTCGGTAACCAAAGCCCGCTGATTCGGTAACCACAATCATGAAACCAAAACAATATAACAGTTCTAAAAGAAGAAACTGATGACCCGGCAGCGGTAGTGGTAGTGGTAGTGGCAGTAGTAGTAGTAGTAGTAGTAGTAGTCGTAGCAGGAGTAGCAGTAGCAGCAGTAGCACCAGTAGTAGTAGTAGTAGTAGTAGTAGGAGTAGGAGTAGTCGTAGTAGTAGTAGTAGTAGTCGTCGTCGTCGTCGTCGTCGTCGAAGTCGTAGTAGTAGTCGTCGTCGTCGTCGACTAAGTAGTAGTAGTGATAGTAGAAGTAGTAGTAGTTGTTGTTGTTGTGGTGGTGGTAGTAGTAGCATTTCATCACAAAACAACCAGGACTGTGTGCGTGCCTCTCTTGGTGGTCACAAGAACACAGACCAACAGAAGCTTTTTGGTCGAACCATGCCAAACTAGCATGGCAAAATCCTCAACAAGTTCATCTTCATCTTTCCAACTTAATCTGCACTCCGCCGTAAATACAACGATCAGGAAACTAGGATGCAGAAACCCACCGATTGTTTCCAACCATATGCTGTAAATACAATCATATTCTTAAACCCCTTGCAGCCACATGGAACGTTATTATCTTGGCCCTCACTCTATTCAGCCGTATGCTGTAAATACATGTAAATACAAACATTTGAATGAATGTTGAAGCCCTTTGCAACCACATCGATTGTTATTATCTTGGCTATGGTCCCCCCCGACCCCACACTCCTCGTGCCCTCCCCCCCATTGCAACCATCGTCTGGCTTGGTTTCTGCATCCGTCAGCTGTTTTGGTTTCTGAATCGGCAAATCTCCGTCGCCAATGGCCCAATGCCCAGCCAAGTCGCTGCGTCTCCCGGTTGGCCGTGGCCAAATCTACCCGAATCTTGCTGCGAAGAACATCTTCGTCAGCTGCTCCAACGGCACAACCTGCAAATACAAGTTCGATCAGTCCAGTTGGGGCCCCGGCATCCTTTCATTGTGAGAGTAATTGAGAGTAGATGGCTCAAATGTCAAGTGACTTCAAGTGATGCTTTCCAATAATTTCACTTAATCTGGGGCGATGGGTTCGTAATTAGGGTTGCTCTTCCAGCATAAGGCGCGGACATTGGCCAGGAGGTGGCATGACGGCCACCAACTCAGCTTTCGCTCCTAAAATTAAATGCCACGAGTAGCATCTGACGGCACTCACTACCGGCAAATATGCAATAGTGTGACGAGTGAACTTTTCTCTTATTTATCTTAAACAGTCTCAAATATGTACAGGCTTAAATTGTACGGATGTGTATATATATATATATACAGTATATGGATGGCCTCCACACAATTATATAATCCCAGGCAAGCGTCCGAAATGAACACTGCTGAAAGCTAGCGGCCGCCAGAGAATGCACGTCCGTCGGCTGCGTGCAGGCTTTTCGATTAGATACACGTGAGTGATGCTGTGGATAAGCAAGCACGCTTACACTACTATGATTGAACATTGTAAGCTATATTTATAGTTGTTGATAGTTTATATTAATGTGTCCTATGAGGGCAACACAGTGGTTTATGTCATTGTTTGGCCATCCGTTCAAATCTCTCCTTATGAAACTCTCTCTAATCTTGCAAGGTCTGAGCCAGTCACGCACACACAATTCCAATACCATGTTTACAATTGATGTTCCAAGCATGAAGCACATGCCCTGACTGTAGCAATGTTGGAACGAATCAGACCTCCCAACTTCTCAACTTTGCCCCATACAGTACCCATCGTCACATCCACTTGTTTGACATGCTTTTGCCTAACTCAGGGTGGTTATGGGTAATTAGGTGGATTGGACGCAGGGATTGCCCGGGGTTCTGTTCATCACCTCGCCCAGGACCCGTGATGCGGGCAGGCACCGTAGGGCAGCAACTGCAGCCTGGCCCAGGTACGGGAGGTTGATGGATGTTGCTTTCAATTTCAATCGTGACTTACAATTGAATGAATCAGAACAGCCAAATGTGCAAAAGTACCAACCTTGCTTGGTGGCTTGCTGTTCCAAAGGACTCAGGCAGCTCTTGGATGCAAGGCTGCGCCAGGTTTTAGTGACAGGATTGATACGCACTTGTGCCCTTTTGACTGCCAAGATTGGCCCACTCCCTTCTAACTTCGCGGCTCCTCTGTCTTGAGCAGCTGCTGCCTCGGGCTGTCTGGGTAAAGTCAGTTCTGAATGAAAACCAAACTTTGTTTCGCAGCTGTGGCAGGAACGGGTGTTCATACAAAACCATACATATCCGAGGCAATTATTCAGCCCAATGCCTGACGGGTCAGTTTTCGCTGGGCCGACTCGCTCAAGACCAGAGATTAACTCTGGCCATCGTTGACGCTTCGGTGAATACCCTTTCGCCAGGCTACAAACAGTGAAAAGTGTTTCAATAATTCTTTCAGACACTTATGCGTGATGACAAACATGTTACATGTTTGATGCATTCCATTTTGGGCCAGGTGGGCCGGGTGAATCCGTCAGTCAGCTGTCGACATTCACCAGTTCCAAGTTGCTGGTCATACGGTCCTGATAAATGGTAGGTCTAAGTCCGGAATGCCAGAACATCTCCACTTGCTCGGCTCTGAGCTCTGCGACATCTCCCGCCCAGACATTTCCTTCGCTGGGGTATTGATGCAAGTCCTGGCAGTGATTGTGGCAAGTGCAAAGGCTGCCCCTGAAACATTTGAGATTGTCCTGGTGCCGGCCGCTGCATCCACCAATACAGTGCTGAATGCAGACCTCCCAGAACCAAGCAATTTGACAAAAGACAAAGTTTCCCAGCACTCCAAGCAGGATCCATTCATTGGCTTGCAGGAGTGGTCAGCTGCATACTCAGCCCTGGCCTAGGCCTAGCTCTCACCAACCTGGACTAAGGCTAAGGCTCACCCTCAATTTGAATAAGGTCGGTTTGGACGCCCTGGGTCTCCAAACCTCAATGCAGTGGGGCATGATGCACCAGCAAATTGATCGCAGCTTAACTTACCAAGCTCAAGACCCTGCACGATAGAATTTCCAAGGACATCCGCGCCAACCTGCGTATGTTGCATATGCATGAAGCTTAAGATGCTATCCCCCGTACATGTTCCCTTGGGTGTCTTACATTACATTTCATAGACAAATTGTGTCTAGAGTCTATAGAATGAGTTGCCTGGGATAAGTTGTCTATAAAATGACAAGCCTTGCATGTATTTATATAAAATGATTACCAGCATGTGAAAACAAATATAAAACATATCACAATCAAAAAACAATCTCTATAAGATGAAGTTCTACCCCTTGACATCTTGATCTTAACAACATACAACAATATGATCCCCCTGCTCGCTCTATAGAATGCCCTTCCTGCATCCTTGCACACAATCCCATCTGAAGTACATACTTGCTCAAGCAGCCCTCTATAAAATGATGTCCTGTGATGTTCAAATATATTCTGTAAATCTGAAACCACATATTCTATATAAAATGGGTGTCCAAAACCCATTTCATAGAGGAAAGTGATTGTCATTTCATAGAGCCTCATGTACGGGGGATAAGATGCTCAGTAAAGTTTGGACTTGCTTGTTGCGGTGCTCATGTCGCTCTCAAGAACTTTACTAAGAGCATAAGGGGTCCTAGTTGGTGAGCGATGAAGCAAACTCCTTGGACCACTGTTGGGCCACAGGATGCAACCCAGTCGCCTTCGAAAATAGCCTTGCAGATCGGCCCAGGCGAGCCAAGGCTGAAGCGGTGTTGGCCGCATTCCCACCGCCAAGCCAAGCGGTTTGTAGAGCGCGCACCTAGCGCGTTTCCAAACGTTGTGCTTGAATGGGTTCTAGATGATTCTACGGTACCACACGTGCACACAAAACTTTGTACCAGCAAGGTCCTCTCATCCTTTCACTGCCAAGATCGATCTGCCATTTTCTGACGATACTTCGTGCTGGCTGCAGGTCATGGCACGCGGCCAGTAACGAGTCTACGGTGGACCTATTCTTTTCGAGCCACGACATGAGTGTAAGAGAGACCCTTCGGGATGGTGCAAAGACCAACCGCATGCACATGGCGGCTGATATCCACGGAGAGCTCCAGCTCAAACCCGTGGTCCTCGAGGTTTGGGTGACTCTTAGCTTGGCTGTTTGTAGCTTCAATGCTCCATACGATAAGAACTGTTGAACAGATGTGTGTTATACATGCGTGTGTATGTGTATTGGTATAAATATATATATATATACACATCTGTGTGTATACTACTACTACTACTACTACTACTACTACTACTACTACTACCACTACCACTACCACTACCACTACTACTACTACTACTACTACTACTACTACTACTACTATACATAAGTACACATACATGCATATAGCATCATATAGTGCTAGAATATGTATTTAACACAAACCTTAGCTGAACCATCACCTCCAGCGCATCCAGTAGCTTCGTGTTCGTTCTTCTCTCTATCGCATCGGCCAACAGCAAGCGCCCTCCCTGGCGCAAGGCGTGCGCACACCCTGCCACAAAGACATCCAGGTGTTCGAAGGATGCAAAAGACTCGATACAAATCACAAAGTCAAAGGATGCAGCCGGGATCGAGGTCGACAACTCATGCGCGTCCATCACCTCATATTCCAAGCCCGGCCATTCGCCAAAATTCGCCCTGGGGAGCTTGCCACTGTCTTGAAGACTCAAAAGGAAGCTGAAAACATGAGAGTTTTCAGTAGATTGTGCTTCATACATACCGGCGCCATTCTTTTCATGGTAATATTTATTTATATAATTATATATATATATATGTGTGTGTGTAAATTAGTTCTACATATGATTCTTCCTAACATCGAAGTCACCGGGTCTACCGTGCCACCGTGCCTGCAGCTCTCAATGTGTTCCTGCACGTTGTCGACGGCCAAGAGTCTTCTTGGCTCAACCGCCTCCATGAGATACCGGGCGCCACCCCCACGCATACAGCCCACCTCCAGGACGTCCTTGCCTCGCAGCAGCTCTGGATCGGCCTCCTGGACACTCGGAGACTTCTTGGGACGAAACTGAAAACAAGGCCAAGGATGAAAACAAAAAGATACGGCGTACAGTATAGAGTATGGAGTATATATAAGGGGTAAAAAAGGCGGATGAGCATTGGTCTTTGAAAGCTGCTGAGCAGATGGCAGCCACCGTCTGCTGACAGAAGTTGGAAGTTCCAAGATGTCAACCCGTGTCAAACTCTGAACTTCAAACGTCGAAAGCAACAGCAAGCTCTCTATGCCCACATAACTATGGAAGGACACCACCATGCTCTTTGGGTCCTGTTGCTATTCTAGCACCATTCTGAAGAAACACAACAGTTCCCTTTCACAAAGGATCACTGCCTTGCGCCGTTCGGAGATGTTGGTGGCCAAATGCCAGTAGAGAGCCCCACCGTACATCATCATTCCTGGTCCGTGCTGAGCAATCTTGGGCTTGCGGCTTGCAGTTACAGAAATGCACTCTAGCCAGATTTTCCGGCTGCTTTGCATAGTAACCACGCTTCCAAAGGTACCGAGACAAAAGAAGAGGACAATCCCACTAAAGCCACCTTTTCCCAAGTCTCACTTCACTTAGTATTCGAACATGTGCCCGCACTCCTCCAGTGAATTTGCAGTTTGCTCAATTTGCCCGCGACGAAAGCCCTGCTTTCTAAATCTTACTGCCTCCAGGCTTCGATACTCTTGGCTGTTGGGAACCACATCTTCGCGCTTTAGCACAGTGGCTTTTGGCAGCTGCACTCCAAAATCACCCCCACAGTTGCAAATGTGAGCCTGCAATGCATACGAGCAGAATGACAAGAACTCAGGCCAGAAAGGGTAGCCGTATACAGTGTTCTAGAAGGAGAAGGGCAACTTGAGGCCAAGTGGAGGAGGTGGAAAGCTAGCCGAATCGCACCGGATGTACTACAGTAGTTACATAGTTGGCAAAGCATGTAGTGATTACTTGTTTTGGGAGAAAGGTTGCTACGTACATACTTTGCGCTACATCGCCGACTGGGAAGGGTACATTGGAACTCGTTGGCAAGCACGAAGATGCGTGATCGGCAAATCTGGGGGTTAAATTTATCCCCCGCTTATGTATGCCTTGTGCCGGAAACAGGACTAAGCATTTCTGGCATCACAAGGACTGTGCATACACTAGGGCGTCCGTAGTGTAGGATAAGCACTGGTACAAGGTATAAGGAGTAGAGTGTCTTGAGGAAATAGCCGGCTTATGGTTGTGGCAAATCTGGGGGGTAAATTTACCCCCCGCTTATGCATGCCTTGAGCCGGAACGAGGGGTAAGCATCACAAGGACTGTGCATACACTAGGGCGTCCGTAGTGTAGGATAAGCACTGGTAAAAGGTATCAGGAATAGAGTGTCTTGAGGAAATAGCCGGTGTATGGTTATAGCAAACCTGGGTGGTAAATTTACCACCCGCTTATGCATGCATTAGGTTAGAAATAGGGGTAAAGAACTTGTAACAGTGAAGTACAAGTCCTATGCAGCAAGCAGCAGCAAGCAGCAGCAGCAGCCGCCAGCAGCCAGCAGCCAGCAGCAACCACCAACCAGCAGCCAGCCAGCAGCACCACGTAGCAGCAGCGCAGCACCAAGCCGCAGCAGCAGCAGCACCACCAGCAGCAAGCAGCAAGCAGCAAGCAGCAGCAGCAGCGGCGTCGTCAGCAACAGCAGCAGCAGCACCAAGCCGCAACAAGTAGCAAAGCAGCAGCTACAAAAGCGGCAACCTCAGGCAGCAGCAAACAGCAGCAGCAAGCAGCAGAGCGGCAGCAGCAGCACCGTTTACACCAAGCCACCGTTTACACCCAACCAACCACGTTCATACGTTCAACCAACCCCCGCTACACGGCGCAACTGGGAGCGTGGGGGGGGAGGGGGGGAGGGGGGGAGGGTGAAAGAGTGACTAGGGCGTACACGGTAGAGGTGCAGACCGCTAGTGTCTTTTATGCGCAGAGTCTTATCCTCTTGCTCTTTGAGCCTTGAAGCAGTCAAGTATGGACACACTATATCGGCTGTTGGAGTGGAACCCTGTACAGGTAGGCTCTACTTTTCAGCAGGCACAAGATTCATGTCCACTCCTAGCTGATTGCGTATGTCGCACACTCTTTTTCTACTGCAAGGCTAAAACAGTCCAGCTAGCTCTAGCAACTTAAAAGAAAACTACGGTGCCATGTACTTACCTAATCCAGTGTGTTTCACACTATAGAGAAGGTAATCTCAAAGCTACTAAATACAGTGAGGGAGCAATAGCTGACTCACCTCAAGTACAAAATCAAAACGATAATGTACCTCGGCTGGAGACTGTATTTTTCACAGGCGGAGATACCATGCACCGGCGCTCACTAGCTCTTTATGGCCTGAGCTAAATCAAACTAAAAAGGGAAAGCGGCTTTTTCTCTACAGAGACCTATAAAAGAATCAAACGACACTCGCGTAACAAGGAAACAAAAACTCAAGACCGCACAAATGCAATTAATTAAAATGCCTTGCAAAATGCAAGGAGCGTACGGTCCGAGGAATAATCTTCTCGTGACGTGGTCTCGACCGCTTTCATCCACAGACAAAATAAAACTGCATCAAAAGGACTCTCTTTCACATTCACATCAAAAACACAAGAAGGAGATACCGGCAAATGTATGTACAAAAAAATCTTGCACTACAATTGCAAATCATGAAATGACTTAATCATCAACCATGACTGGTTGTCCATTAGAGGTCACTTCATAAGAGCGGTGGTGATAGATATCATCAGTTATGTAAAACTGTCCATATCTACCTGCTAAAGTTTAAAACTTCAGCCCGGCAACTTAAAGTCAAGCTTGGAAGCAAAGTATCAACTGTAACCAGAAGTATCTTCACTTCCTAGCCATCATTTAAATTTCAGCCTTCGCTCAGGAATTATGCCGCTGCAGACGATGAAGCTGCTTGATCAGAAGTTGGCGGCCTTCCTTTCTTTCTATTCTGCTTCTGTCTCTCCTTCCTCCGCAAGTTCGCCTCATGAAGAGTTGCTCCCATGCGATACTGTCTTCTGTCTCCAGATGAAAAGGAAGCTGGTCTGAGTGAAATAAACATTGGACCATGACTGTCCTCGTCAAAGGGTCTTGAGCACATAACCTCCGTGTCAATCATAGCAAAGTTCTCTGAAAAATTACAGATGAACTCCTTCGTGCTCACTGTGGAATTTTCATATTCCTCTTCACTCATTGAATGACCCCATTCAACAATGGTAGACAAACATGTATCGCCAAGCTGTGATCCTTGGTATTCTTCTTTTTCAGCAGTAGAATATTCTTCCCAGAGTTTATCAAAGTAAACTTCACACTTCTTGAGGACCTGTGAAGTTGAACTGTAAAATGTTCTGGGAATAGGTGCTTTGATACCAGGGTCTGCTTTTACACGAGCTTCTGAAAACCTGCGGATCCAATGCTGCATGGTGCTGTAATAGTAGTTAGCCATTGGCTGCCTTTTGTACCCAGACATTCTGTAGGCCAAACTATTTGCATCACCAGAAATGATGTCCACCTCATAGACAAAACACTCGTAAAGCATCAATGCTGTCTGTTCTCCTGTCAGTAGGTGGGCATCCACAGCACGGTGTGTATCAACATGATAATTACAGACTCTGATGGTATGCATGTTCGCTCGAGTAAGTGGAACACGCTTGTCCTCAGGACCATAGTCATCAAATTCAAAGTCTGCATCCTTGAAATCTTGACGAGGCCTTGTTTCTCCAAAACAAATCTCGTAGATAGCCCAAGTTACATCACGCTGTTCACAGTGACCAAGTTCTTGATCATGTCCAGCAATGATCTTGACATATCCACCTGGTGCCAATCTAGCCATCACTGCAAGATTCTCCCAATCATTGAAACAAACTGTCCAATTCTTTTGCTCAATAAATTCCTTGGCAGGAACAAGAAGATGAGCTTCCTGGAGAATCACGACATGTGCACGTAAAAAGAAGAGCATGTTGAAGAAAAGGTTGTTCTCAAATTGCTCATTCTGAAGTGACATGGCGCTCTGTTTGCGTGGCCTCATTGCACTATCAAGTCCTTGGAGAAACCTTGGTGTGGTGTACTTCTGACCACGAACCATGTTGCCATAGTTCCAGGATAAAAATGTCAAGGACTCTGAGCTGGCCAATAAGTTAGTTCCATATGGTTCTTCTATTCTTCCCTTGAGGAACCTTCTGCACAGCTCTTCATAGAAGGTGACAAAGTCCCAACTGGGTCCCTTGGGACCATATGATTCCAGTTCCTTCTTAAGTTCCTTCTTCGTATCCTCCAATTCTTCTCGAGCATGTTCTGCCCTTTCAAGGGCCTTTGGATCGACCTGATACTTGCCATCCAAATGAATGATGCGATCATCATTGATAAAGAATCTCTTCAAATCATGCTCTGGTTCGTGTTCATAACAATCAGGTGGAGGTACTGGACAGATATTACGAATGGATCGAACAAAATCATTCTCGTTGATCCTTGACTGATAATGAGGATGGGAAATCTCACCTTTTCTGAAACAAACATGATTCAGCAATCTTGCGTGAGTTTCCCTGAAGCATTGTTGATAAAGGCCAATACCTGGATCTCCTGTAAGCTCTCCAAGCAACTTCAAAGGTGAAGTATGCAACTCATAGGTATTGTCAACTTTTGTTGTATCCTTTTCAACAACTACTTCAGATGGAAAAGATTCCTGGATTTCAGCCTCCAATTTCTTCTCTCCATCATCCTCTCTGACCTCTTTTATTTTCTCCACCGCCTCTTTCTTCTCTTCCATGGTTGCATCATCCTGAACTTCTTCATGAAAATGAGGATCAGGTATTTTATTCAGGCGGCTTTTCTTAGATTTCGGCAGACGTGGAGTATCATCAAGGTTAGCATCCATCTCACCTGATGGTAAGTGCGATGCAGCCGAGTCCTCACCTATCTCTCTTGACAGAAAGTGTGGTGTTGACTCCTCCTTGGCTTCCTCCTGGTCCACTTCCATCTTTGGTTCCTCTGAAGGAAAAACACCTGCATTCTCATCAAATATTTCTTCTTCCTTTTCAGGTTCAACTGCAGGATCTTCTTCAGGAACTTCCTCTTCCATATCCTCATCTTCTAGAAGTGTCATACTTCCAGTATAGATTCCACCAGCGATAGTGGAGACTCTTGTATAAGGAGGAACTTCTTCACCTGCATCAAAAGCTTGTTCTGCAACATCCTTGGTGAGCAAGTCCTCTACAAGATTTTCTCCCATGGTTCTTGGAAGAGGTCCTGAGGTCTCATAAAAATCTGTCCTCTCTGAACTGAAAGCTTCTGTCGCCTTCTCATTGTCCTTTTGATCCCTGAACAGGTGAGTAATCTTCACAGCTTCTCCCTGTAGCACCTGATCACCTTCTCTATACTTGTCGACAATGGAGCGCCATACTGGAACATTATCATCATCGAAATCAAGCTCCATATCATCTGCCAACAGGTATGAGATGTTTTGAGCTGCCTGTTCTTCTTCTTCCTCACGTTCCTTGGCATGCTCCTCATCCTTCTGGATCTTAAAGATACCCTTCAGGATGTCTTGTAGTACCTTTAAGTTCAGCTTCGATGATGGCTCATACGTCCCTGAACTTACAGGCTCAACTACAACACGAGAGCAAGAAATCGCCTCCAAAAACTTGGAATTGTATTGGCGTTCAAACTCTTCCTTCTTGATCATCTCATACAAGGGATCAGAAACTGCAACACGCGCTTGAACATACTCACGAAGTTGATAGCATGCATGTTGCACAAATCTACTGT